TCCCCGTCTCCCCGTCTCCCCGTCTCCGCTTCTCCGCGTCTCCCCGTCTCCCCGTCTCCCCGTCTCCCCGTCTCCGCTTCTCCGCGTCTCCCCGTCTCCCCGTCTCCCCGTCTCCAGCGGCGAGCCCCGTCTCCCCGTCTCCCCGTCTCCGCGTCTCCCCGTCTCCGCATCTCCCCGTCTCCGCGTCTCCGGCGGCGAGCCCCGTCTCCGCATCTCCCAGTCTCCGCGTCTCCCCGTCTCCGCGTCTCCGCGTCTCCGCGTCTCCGGCGGCGAGCCCCGTCTCCCCGTCTCCCCGTCTCCGCGTCTCCGCATCTCCGCGTCTCCCCGTCTCCGCGTCTCCGCGTCTCCCCGTCTCCCCGTCTCCCCGTCTCCCCGTCTCCGCGTCTCCCCGTCTCCGCGTCTCCGGCGGCGAGCCCCGTCTCCCCGTCTCCCCGTCTCCCCGTCTCCGCGTCTCCCCGTCTCCCCGTCTCCGCGTCTCCGGCGGCGAGCCCTGTCTCCGCATCTCCCCGTCTCCGCGTCTCCCCGTCTCCCCGTCTCCCCGTCTCCCCGTCTCCGCTTCTCCGCGTCTCCCCGTCTCCGCGTCTCCCCGTCTCCCCGTCTCCCCGTCTCCGCGTCTCCCCGTCTCCAGCGGCGAGCCCCGTCTCCGCGTCTCCCCATCTCCGCGTCTCCCCGTCTCCGCGTCTCCGGCGGCGAGCCCCGTCTCCGCATCTCCCCGTCTCCCCGTCTCCCCGTCTCCCCGTCTCCGGCGGCGAGCCCCGTCTCCGCATCTCCCCGTCTCCGCGTCTCCCCGTCTCCGGCGGCGTGCCCCGTCTCCGCGTCTCCGGCGGCGAGCCCCGTCTCCCCGTCTCCCCGTCTCCGCGTCTCCGGCGGCGAGCCCCGTCTCCCCTTCTCCATGTCTCCGCGTCTCCGCGTCTCCCCGTCTCCAGCGGCGAGCCCCGTCTCCCCGTCTCCCCGTCTCCGCGTCTCCCCGTCTCCCCGTCTCCCCGTCTCCCCGTCTCCCCGTCTCCGGCGGCGAGCCCCGTCTCCGCGTCTCCGGCGGCGAGCCCCGTCTCCCCGTCTCCCCGTCTCCGGTGGCGCTCCACCACCGCCTCGGCCGCATCGCACGGCGAGGAGGCGGCTCTCGCGTTGGGCGGCGAGGACGCCGGCAGCGGCGCACACACACACAGACACACACACACACAGACACACACACAGACACACACACACACAGACACACACACAGACACACACACACACAGACACACACACACAGACACACACACAGACACACACACACACAGACACACACACACACAGACACACACACAGACACAGACACACACACAGACACACACACAGACACACACACACACACAGACACACACACAGACAGACACACACACACAGACACACACATACAGACACACACACACACAGACACACACACACAGACACACACACACAGACACACACACACACAGACACACACACAGACACACACACACACAGACACACACACACACACAGACACACACACAGACAGACACACACACACAGACACACACAGACACACACACAGACACACACACACACAGACACACACACAGACACACACACAGACACACACACACACAGACACACACAGACACACACATACACACACACACAGACACACAGACACACACACACAGACACACACACACAGACACACACACAGACACAGACACACACACAGACACACACACACAGACACACACACACACACAGACACACACACAGACAGACACACACACACAGACACACACAGACACACACACAGACACACACACACACAGACACACACACACAGACACACACACAGACACACACACACACAGACACACACAGACACACACATACACACACACACAGACACACAGACACACACACACAGACACACACACACAGACACTCTCACACAACAACAACAACCGCCATTCGCCACTAAGTGGGGGTGACGTCACCACGACGCTTGTGCCAGGCTATGTGCACCCTGAGGCCACGTGGAGTGTCGAACGCCCGCTGGCAGGAGGTCACGGGGCAGACCCAGGTGCCACGGGTCGACTGACTGAGATGACTGGCTGATGCACCACCTGTGCCCCCTACTGTGCCAACCTGCTGTGCTTTAGCCACCCGGCGCTCCGCTCGTTGTTCTGAGCGTCGCTCCTCCGCCCTCCGTTGTTATTGGAGGGCGACTGCCTCCAACTGCCCAGTAGCATCCTTCACGAGCCTCCTCCACAGAGGCCGATCTTGACACCGCTGGTACCAGTCATCGGCAAGTCCACTCAGCTCCACGTCCTCCTGTACCACATCACTCCATGTCTTCTCTAGCCCGTGCCGCGCCCGTTTAGCCCCTCGATCCGGCCGAACAAAAGCTGTTTCGGCATGCGGTGGCTGGGCATGCGGGCTACATGACCCAGCCATCGCAGCCTTGCCTGCCGGAGGAGCTCACCGATGGGACCGTGCCCAGATCTTTCAAGGATTTGTGAGCTCCTCACACAATCCAGTCTGGTTAAACCCAGGATGGATCGTAGGCAGGCCAGGCTAAATGTTTCTAACCGGCGAAGATGTTCCATTAGGGGGGTCCACGTTTCGCAAGCGTAGAGAAGGGAGGGAATGACCGTGGCCGAGAAGACACACAGACACACACACACAGACACACACACACAGACACACACACACAGACACACACACACCCGCACGATGTCGTTGTTTCGTTCGCGGATTCGCGCTACGGAAGGCCTCGGCTAGCTGATTGAAGATGAAGGGAACGATGAACTAAAGTGGGAAATAAAACGACGTGAAGTGAGGGTTGGAGGGGGTACACCGTTTTGAGTTTCCGTGAAAACCTCTCTCGGGCTCGGTCTGGACGATGAAAGACCCGGCCTCTATTAAGCGAGGTGAGGAGCGTGGAGCTCCACCTGGACGCAGACTCCTCCCAGCACGCTCAGAGAGAGAGAGGGAGGGGTTAGAGAGAGAGAGAGAGGGGTGAGGGAGAGAGGGGTGAGAGGGTGGGGGGGGGTTAGAGAGAGAGAGGGGTGAGAGAGAGGGGGGGTGAGAGAGAGAGGGGTGAGAGGGGTGAGTGAGAGGGGGGGGGTGAGAGAGAGAGGGGTGAGTGAGAGAGTGGTGAGACAGTGAGAGCGAAGCGAGTGAGTGAGTGAGAGAGGAGTGAGAGAGTGAGAGAGTGAGGAGTGAGTAAGAGAGTGAGTGAGAGAGTGAGTGAGAGAGGAGCGAGAGAGAGAGGGGTGAGTGAGTGAGAGTGAGTGAGAGAGTGAGTGAGTGAGAGAGAGAGGGGTGAGTGAGTGAGTGAGAGTCAGTGAGAGAGTCAGTGAGTGAGAGAGTGAGTGAGAGAGGGAGGAATGAGTGAGTGAGTGAGAGAGGGAGGAGTGAGTGAGAGAGTGAGTGAGTGAGAGAGGGGTGAGTGAGTGAGAGAGGGGTGAGAGAGTGAGTGAGAGAGGGAGGAGTGAGTGAGAGGGTGAGAGAGAGGAGAGAGTGAGAGAGAGTTAAAGGGAGAGTGTGAGAGAGGGTGAGAGAGAGAGTTAAAGGGAGAGGGAGGGGTGAGAGGGAGGGAGATAGAGAGTTAAAGGGAGGGTGAGAGAGATAGAGAGTTAAAGGGTGAGAGAGAGTGAGCGAGAGAGTTAAAGGGAGAGTGAGAGAGAGAGAGGGGTGAGTGAGAGAGAGTGAGAGAGTGAGGGTTAAAGGGAGAGATAGAGAGAGAGTTAAAGGGAGTGTGAGAGAGAGAGAGGGAGAGTGAGTGAGGGAGAATGAGAGAGAGTTAAAGGGAGAGTGAGAGTAGTGAGAGAGAGGAGAGAGTTAAAGGGGGAGTGAGAGAGAGAGAGGAGAGAGAGCGAGAGAGAGTTGAAGGGGAGGGAGAGAGTGAGTGAGAGAGGGTGAGAGAGGGAGGAGTGAGCGAGAGTGAGTGAGTGAGAGAGTTAAAGGGAGAGAGTGAAAGGAGGAGTGAGAGAGTTAAAGAGAGAGAGAGTGAGGGAGAGAGTTAAAGGGGGTGAGAGAGAGAGTTAAAGGGAGAGTGAAAGGGGGAGGAGAGCGAGGGTTAAAGAGAGAGAGGTAAAAGAAGAGTTAAAGAGAGAGGTAAAGGAAGAGTTAAAGAGAGAGAGAGTTAAAGAGAGAGTTAAAGAGAGAGGAGAGAGGTAAAGGAAGAGTTAAAGAGATAGAGTTAAAGGGAGTGAGAGAGAGTTAAAGAGAGAGGTAAAGGAAGAGTTAAAGAGAGAGAGAGTTAAAGAGAGAGAGTTAAAGAGAGAGTTAAAGAGAGAGAGGAGAGAGGTAAAGGAAGAGTTCAAGGGAGAGTGAGAGAGAGTTAAAGAGAGAGAGTGAAAGGGGGAGGAGTGAGAGAGTTAAACAGAGAGAGGTAAAGGAAGAGTTAAAGAGAGAGAGAGTTAAAGGGGGAGGAGTGAGAGAGAGGAGAGAGTTAAAGAGGAGTGAGAGAGTTAAAGGGAGACTGAAAGGGGGAGGAGAGAGAGTTAGAGAGAGAGTTAGAGAGAGAGAGTTAAAGGGAGAGAGAGAGTTAAAGGAAGAGTTAAAGAGAGAGAGAGTTAAAGGGAGAGAGAGAGTTAAAGGAAGAGTTAAAGAGAGAGAGTTAAAGGGAGAGAGAGAGTTAAAGGAAGAGTTAAAGAGAGAGAGAGAGAGAGGGAGCGAGTTAAAGGGGGAGGAGTTAGAGAGTTAAAGAGAGAGAGGTAAAGGAAGAGTTAAAGAGAGAGGTAAAGGAAGAGTTAAAGAGAGAGGTAAAGGAAGAGTTAAAGGGAGAGAGAGAGAGAGTTAAAGAGAGAGAGAGAGTTAAAGAGAGAGAGAGAGGTAAAGGGAGAGAGAGAGAGTTTAAAGGGAGAGAGAGAGAGAGTTAAAGAGAGAGAGAGTTAAAGGGAGAGAGAGAGAGAGTTAAAGAGAGAGAGAGAGAGTTAAAGAGAGAGAGTTAAAGAGAGAGAGAGAGAGTTAAAGGGAGAGAGAGAGAGTTAAAGAGAGAGAGAGAGTTAAAGGGAGAGAGAGAGTTAAAGAGAGAGAGAGAGTTAAAGAGAGAGTGAGAGAGAGTTAAAGGGAGAGAGAGAGAAGGAGGAGGAGGTCCCAGCTGGTTGCGGCATTGGCGGCGTACAGGAGGCGGCCATTGTTAGTGAGCAGCTGCAGAGAGACGAGGTGAGTGGTGGTGGTGGTGGTGAGTAGTGGTGTGTGTGGTGGTGGTGGTGAGTGTGGTGGTGGTGGTGAGTAGTGGTGTGTGTGGTGGTGGTGAGTGTGTGGTGGTGAGTGTGTGGTGGTGTGTGGTGGTGAGTGTGTGGTGGTGAGTGTGTGGTGGTGAGTGTGGTGGTGGTGGTGAGTGTAGTGGTGAGTGTAGTGGTGGTGGTGAGTGTAGTGGTGAGTGTGGTGGTGTGTGTGGTGGTGAGTGTGTGTGGTGGTGGTGGTGAGTGGTGGTGAGTAGTGGTGTGTGTGGTGGTGGTGGTGAGTGTGGTGGTGGTGGTGAGTAGTGGTGTGTGTGGTGGTGGTGAGTGTGTGGTGGTGAGTGTGTGGTGGTGTGTGGTGGTGAGTGTGTGGTGGTGAGTGTGTGGTGGTGAGTGTGGTGGTGGTGAGTGTAGTGGTGAGTGTAGTGGTGGTGGTGAGTGTAGTGGTGAGTGTGGTGGTGTGTGTGGTGGTGAGTGTGTGTGGTGGTGGTGGTGAGTGGTGGTGAGTAGTGGTGTGTGTGGTGGTGGTGGTGAGTGTGGTGGTGGTGGTGAGTAGTGGTGTGTGTGGTGGTGTGTGTGTGTGGTGGTGAGTGTGTGGTGGTGAGTGTGTGGTGGTGAGTGTGTGGTGGTGAGTGTGTGGTGGTGAGTGTGTGGTGGTGAGTGTGTGGTGGTGAGTGTGTGGTGGTGAGTGTGTGGTGGTGAGTGTGTGGTGGTGAGTGTGTGGTGGTGGGTGTGGTGGTGGTGGTGAGTGTAGTGGTGGTGGTGAGTGTAGTGGTGGTGGTGAGTGGAGTGGTGAGTGTGGTGGTGTGTGTGGTGGTGAGTGTGTGTGGTGGTGGTGGTGAGTGGTGGTGAGTAGTGGTGAGTGGTGGTGGTGTGTGTGGTGGTGAGTGTGGTGGTGGTGGTGGTGAGTGTAGTGGTGAGTGTAGTGGTGGTGGTGAGTGTAGTGGTGAGTGTGGTGGTGGTGGTGAGTGTGGTGGTGGTGAGTGTAGTGGTGGTGAGTGTAGTGGTGAGTGTAGTGGTGGTGGTGAGTGTGGTGGTGGTGAGTGTAGTGGTGGTGAGTGTAGTGGTGATGGTGAGTGTGGTGGTGGTGAGTGTGGTGGTGGTGAGTGGTGGTGGTGAGTGTGGTGGTGAGTGGTGGTGGTGGTGGTGAGTAGTGGTGGTGAGTGTGGTGGTGGTGAGTGTGGTGGTGGTGAGTGCGGTGGTGGTGGCGGTGGTGAGTGTGGTGGTGGTGGTGAGTAGTGGTGTGTGTGGTGGTGAGTGTCGTGGTGGTGGTGGTGGTTAGTGTCGTGGTGGTCAGTGGTGGTGGTGAGTGTAGTGGTGGTGAGTAGTGGTGGTGGTGAGTGTGGTGGTGGTGGTGGTGAGTGTGGTGGTGGTGGTTAGTGTGGTGGTGGTGAGTGTAGTGGTGGTGGTAAGTGTGGTGAGTGTGGTGGTGGTGGTGAGTGTAGTGGTGGTGGTGAGTGTAGTGGTGGTGGTGAGTGGTGGTGGTGAGTGTGGTGGTGGTGGTGAGTGTAGTGGTGGTGGTGAGTGTAGTGGTGGTGAGTGTGGTGGTGGTGAGTGTAGTGGTGGTTGTGGTGAGTGTAGTGGTGGTTGTGGTGAGTGTGGTGGTGAGTGGTGGTGGTGAGTAGTGGTGGTGGTGAGTGTGGTGGTGGTGGTGGTGAGTGTGGTGGTGGTGGTGGTTAGTGTGGTGGTGGTGAGTGTAGTGGTGGTGGTAAGTGTGGTGAGTGTGGTGGTGGTGAGTGTAGTGGTGGTGGTGAGTGTAGTGGTGGTGGTGAGTGGTGGTGGTGAGTGGTGAGTGTGGTGGTGAGTGGTGGTGGTGAGTGTGGTGAGTGTGGTGGTGGTGAGTGTGGTGGTGGTGGCGGTGGTGAGTGTGGTGGTGGTGGTGAGTAGTGGTGGTGGTGGTGGTGAGTAGTGGTGTGTGTGGTGGTGGTGGTTAGTGTGGTGGTGGTGAGTGTAGTGGTGGTGGTAAGTGTGGTGAGTGTGGTGGTGGTGATGAGTGGTGGTGGTGAGTGTGGTGGTGGTGGTGAGTGTACTGGTGGTGGTGAGTGTAGTGGTGGTGAGTGTGGTGGTGGTGAGTGTAGTGGTGGTTGTGGTGAGTGTAGTGGTGGTTGTGGTGAGTGTGGTGGTGAGTGGTGGTGGTGAGTAGTGGTGGTGGTGAGTGTGGTGGTGGTGAGTGTGGTGGTGGTGGTGGTTAGTGTGGTGGTGGTGAGTGTAGTGGTGGTGGTAAGTGTGGTGAGTGTGGTGGTGGTGAGTGTAGTGGTGGTGGTGAGTGTAGTGGTGGTGGTGAGTGGTGGTGGTGAGTGGTGGTGGTGAGTGTGATGAGTGTGGTGGTGGTGGTGAGTGTAGTGGTGAGTGTAGTGGTGGTGGTGGTGAGTAGTGGTGAGTGTAGTGGTGGTGGTGAGTGGTGGTGGTGAGTGGTGGTGGTGGTGAGTATAGTGGTGGTGAGTGTGGTGGTGGTGAGTGTAGTGGTGAGTGGTGGTGGTGAGTGTGGTGAGTGTGGTGGTGGTGAGTGTAGTGGTGGTGGTGAGTGTAGTGGTGGTGGTGAGTGTAGTGGTGGTGGTGAGTGGTGGTGAGTGGTGGTGGTGGTGGTGAGTGTGATGAGTGTGGTGGTGGTGGTGAGTCTAGTGGTGAGTGTAGTGGTGGTGGTGGTGAGTAGTGGTGAGTGTAGTGGTGGTGGTGAGTGGTGGTGGTGGTGGTGGTGAGTGTAGTGGTGGTGAGTGTGGTGGTGGTGAGTGTAGTGGTGAGTGGTGGTGGTGAGTAGTGGTGAGTGTAGTGGTGGTGGTGGTGAGTAGTGGTGAGTGTAGTGGTGGTGAGTGTAGTGGTGGTGGTGAGTGTAGTGGTGGTGGTGAGTGTAGTGGTGGTGGTGGTGGTGAGTGTAGTGGTGGTGGTGAGTGTAGTGGTGGTGAGTGTAGTGGTGGTGGCGGTGAGTGTCGTGGTGGTGAGTGTAGTGGTGGTGGTGGTGAGTGTGGTGGTGGTGGTGAGTGTGATGGTGGTGGTGAGTGTAGTGGTGAGTGTGGTGGTGGTGAGTGCAGTGGTGGTGGTGAGTGTGGTGGTGGTGGTGAGTGTGGTGGTAGTGAGTAGTGGTGGTGGTGGTGAGTGTAGTGGTGGTGGTGGTGAGTGTAGTGGTGGTGGTGGTGAGTGGTGGTGGTGGTGGTGAGTGGTGGTGGTGGTGAGTGTGGTGGTGGTGGTGAGTGTGGTGGTGGTGGTGAGTGTTGTGGTGAGTGTTGTGGTGAGTGTGGTGGTGGTGAGTGTGGTGGTGGTGAGTGTGGTGGTGAGTAGTGGTGGTGAGTGTAGTGGTGGTGGTGGTGAGTGTGGTGGTGGTGGTGAGTAGTGGTGTGTGTGGTGGTGAGTGTGGTGGTGGTGGTGAGTAGTGGTGGTGAGTGTAGTGGTGGTGGTGGTGAGTGTAGTGGTGGTGGTGGTGAGTGTGGTGGTGGTGAGTGTAGTGGTGGTGGTGAGTGTGGTGAGTGTGGTGGTGGTGAGTGTGATGGTGGTGGTGAGTGTAGTGGTGAGTGTGGTGGTGGTGAGTGTAGCGGTGGTGGTGAGTGTAGTAGTGGTGGTGAGTGTAGTGGTGGTGAGTGTGGTGGTGGTGGTGAGTGTGGTGGTGGTGGTGAGTGTGGTGGTGGTGGTGAGTGTGGTGGTGGTGGTGAGTGTAGTGGTGGTGGTGAGTAGTGGTGGTGAGTGTAGTGGTAGTGAGGAGGTGAGTGTGGTGGTGGTGAGTGTAGTGGTGGTGGTGGTGAGTGTAGTGGTGGTGGTGAGTGTCGTGGTGGTGAGTGTAGTAGTGGTGGTGAGTGTAGTGGTGGTGAGTGTAGTGGTGGTGGTGGTGAGTAGTGGTGGTGGTGAGTGTAGTGGTGAGTGTGGTGGTGGTGAGTGTAGTGGTGGTGGTGAGTGTAGTGGTGGTGGTGGTGAGTGTGGTGGTGGTGAGTGTAGTGGTGGTGGTGAGTGCAGTGGTGGGTGAGTGTAGTAGTGGTGGGGAGGAGGTGAGTGGTGGTGGTGGTGGTGAGTGGTGGTGAGTGTAGTAGTGGTGGTGAGCTCCTCACACAATCCAGCCTGGTTAAACCCAGGATGGATCGTAAGCAGGCCAGCCTAAATGTTTCTAACCGGCGAAGGTGTTCCATTAGGGGGATCCACGTTTCGCAAGCGTAGAGAAGGGAGGGAATGACCGTGGCCGAGAAGACCTGAAGCTTCGTGCAACGACAGACCAGGTAGCTTCCACACAGCGTTACGCAACCGATGAAAAGATATTGCCGCTCGACTGATTCGGAGTGAGATCTCTGCTGTTAAACCGGAGCCGGTCATGAGTACACTGCCCAGGTATGGGCAACTCTCCACTCTCTCCACAACTGCCCCATCACCGATTGGGAGTTGTGGGAGTGGAGTGTCCGATGGTACAAAATACCCAGGCAGGTGCTTAGTTTTGGTGGGGCTGATGGTAAGGCCCCACCTCTTAGTGGCACGCTCCAGTCTCAGCAGCAGCGTCTCGAACTCCTCCTCTGAATGAGCAGCTATTACCAAATCATCAGCATACATAACGTGGTTGAGCAATAGGGAGCTATCCCTTGACCGCACCCGGGCATCGATCAGCCTCCCATTATATCTGTACCAAATGGAGATTCCCCCGGTACAGCTATTGAAGGCTTCACAAATTACGTGGTCAAAATAGATGTTAAATAATGTGGGAGCCAGAGGACATCCCTGTCGCACCCCAAGGTGTACAGGGAATGGCTTTGACTCCCGGCCACGTAGTTTTACCCGGGCCCGCTCACCATCATGAAGGTCCTTAATGATCGTGAGCAGATGGTCAGGGACTCCAAAAGCACGAAGAACAACCCAGAGCCCAGGCCTTACTGATGGTATCATAGGCCTTGACCAGGTCAATAAAGCAGAGATGTAGGTCTTGTTGGAATTCCCTACACCTCTGCTGTAGCAGACGGACAGAAAATATGGCATCTGTGCAGGACCGCCCTTTCCTGAAACCGCAATGGGGCTCCGCAAGCCTCTCCTCAGCGTGCCTGGCAAGGCGATGTTGAATAATCCTTGCCAGGACCTTTCCCGGCACACTGAGGAGTGAAATGCCCCTGTAGTTGTTACAGTCTGTGCGGTCCCCCTTCTTAAAGAGGGGGACCACCAGAGCATTCTTCCAATTCTGCGGAACCCGTCCAGTGGTCCAGACTGTTGTTATGATGTCATGTAGGGCAGTCTGTGCACAAACGCCACCCTCCCTCAGCAAGGTCCCATCGGTGAGCTCCTCCGGCAGGCAAGGCCGCGTTGGCTGGGTCATGTAGCCCGCATGCCCAGCCACCGCATGCCGAAACAGCTTTTGTTCGGCCGGATCGAGGGAGTGATGTGGTACAGTAGGCACAGGGCTAGAGAAGAGATGGAGTGATGTGGTACAAGGGGACGTGGAGCTGAGTGGACTTGCCGATGACTGGTACCAGCGGTGTCACGATCGGCCTCTGTGGAGGAGGCTCGTGAAGGACGCTACTGGGCAGTTGGAGGCAGTCGCCCTCCAACAACAACGGAGGGCGGAGGAGCGACGCTCACAACAACGAGCGGAGCGCCGGGTGGCTAAAGCACAGCAGGTTGGCACAGTAGGGGGCACAGGTGGTGCATCAGCCAGTCATCTCAGTCAGTCGACCTGTGGCACCTGGGTCTGCCCCTTGACCTCCTGCCAGCGGGCGTTCGACACTCCACGTGGCCTCAGGGTGCACATGGCCTGGCACAAGCGTCGTGGTGACGTCACCGCCACTTAGTGGCGAATGGCGGTTGTTGTTGTTTTTGAGTGTGTGGGTGAGTGTAGTAGTGGTGGTGGTTGTTGTTGTTGTTGAGTGTGTGGGTGAGTGTAGTAGTGGTGGTGGTTGTTGTTGTTGCTGCTGCCGCTGCAGGTGGTGAGCATCTGGTGAGCATCTGGCGAGGGATCTTCTGCCGCTGGTGGTGAGGATCCGGTGGCGGTGGTGGTGAGGGTGAGGAGCTGGTGAGGGTGAGGAGCTGGTGAGGGTGAGGAGCCGGTGGTGGTGGTGGTGAGGAGGAGGAGGGGCGATGCCATTGGTACGCTCTTTCTCGGTGACATCCCTGACGGGCCTGAGCGCCTGGCAGGATGACGACGTTCCGGACGACAGCCACGTGGTGCTCTTCGAGGTCGCCTGGGAGGTGGCCAATAAGGGTGCGTGCACCTAGGCTGGCGCAGACACGCACGCGCGCTCACTCAGTTGCTCGCGAGCTACACCAGGGAACTTTGTGTGTGTGTGTGTGAGTGTTTATATGTGTGTGTGTGTGTCTGTGTAGCTGCGCTATGAACCCGGCGACCCGGGGTTCGATTCCCGCTCACGGTCAACACCACCAGTGACGATTATCTGAACCGGTCCCGGGCCTCCCCTATGTCGACTCAGCCTCAAATGAGTACCTGGTGCGGTGTGTGAACATCGCCACTGGGGAGACAAAGGCGGCCGGGCGTGGTGCTGGCCACCCACCCCCTCGTGTGCCACGGTGCCTGTAGCCTTCCATAGATGCTGCTCGCTAACAGCACTTGCCCCTACAGTCTGTTGCAGGCTACACGGGGAATCTTTGTCTTTGTGCGAGTATTTTTGTGGCATCAAACACTCAAACTCCCCCATTGGTGTTGGGGTAGCTGTGGGGAGAGAGCGGGGAGAGAGAGTGGAGAGAGTGGGGAGAGGGGAGAGAGTGGGGAGAGGGGAGAGAGAGGGGAGAGAGAGGGGAGAGAGAGTGGAGAGAGAGTGGAGAGAGAGTGGAGAGAGAGTGGAGAGAGAGTGGAGAGAGAGTGGAGAGAGAGTGGAGAGAGAGTGGAGAGAGAGTGGAGAGAGAGGGGAGAGAGAGAGGAGAGAGAGAGGAGAGAGAGGGGAGAGAGAGGGGAGAGAGAGGGGAGAGAGAGGGGATAGAGTGGAGAGAGAGTGGAGAGAGATGGGAGAGAGAGATGGAGAGAGAGTGGAGAGAGAGTGGAGAGAGAGTGGAGAGAGAGTGGAGAGAGAGTGGAGAGAGAGTGGAGAGAGAGTGGAGAGAGAGTGGAGAGAGAGGGGAGGAGAGAGTGGAGAGAGAGTGGAGAGAGAGTGGAGAGAGAGTGGAGAGAGAGGGGAGAGAGAGTGGAGAGAGAGTGGAGAGGGAGTGGAGAGAGAGTGGAGAGAGAGTGGAGAGAGAGTGGAGAGAGAGTGGAGAGAGAGTGGAGAGAGAGAGTGGAGAGAGAGGGGAGAGAGAGGGGAGAGAGAGTGGAGAGAGAGTGGAGAGAGAGGGGAGAGAGAGGGGAGAGAGAGTGGAGAGAGAATGGAGAGAGAGTGGAGAGAGAGTGGAGAGAGAGTGGAGAGAGAGTGGAGAGAGAGGGGAGAGAGGGTGGAGAGAGAGGGGAGAGAGGGTGGAGAGAGGGTGGAGAGAGAGAGTGGAGAGAGAGTGGAGAGAGAGAGTGGAGAGAGAGAGTGGAGAGAGAGAGTGGAGAGAGAGAGTGGAGAGAGAGAGTGGAGAGAGAGAGAGTGGAGAGAGAGAGTGGAGAGAGAGAGAGTGGAGAGAGAGAGTGGAGAGAGAGAGTGGAGAGAGAGAGAGTGGAGAGAGAGAGAGTGGAGAGAGAGAGTGGAGAGAGAGAGTGGAGAGAGAGTGGAGAGAGAGATGGGAGAGAGAGATGGGAGAGAGAGATGGGAGAGAGAGATGGGAGAGAGAGATGGGAGAGAGAGATGGGAGAGAGAGATGGGAGAGAGAGATGGGAGAGAGAGATGGGAGAGAGAGATGGGAGAGAGAGATGGGAGAGAGAGATGGGAGAGAGAGATGGGAGAGAGAGATGGGAGAGAGAGATGGGAGAGAGAGATGGGAGAGAGAGATGGGAGAGAGAGATGGGAGAGAGAGATGGGAGAGAGAGATGGGAGAGAGAGATGGGAGAGAGAGATGGGAGAGAGAGATGGGAGAGAGAGATGGGAGAGAGAGATGGGAGAGAGAGATGGGAGAGAGAGATGGGAGAGAGAGATGGGAGAGAGAGATGGGAGAGAGAGATGGGAGAGAGAGATGGGAGAGAGAGATGGGAGAGAGAGATGGGAGAGAGAGATGGGAGAGAGAGATGGGAGAGAGAGATGGGAGAGAGAGATGGGAGAGAGAGAGGGAGAGAGAGATGGGAGAGAGAGATGGGAGAGAGAGATGGGAGAGAGAGATGGGAGAGAGAGATGAGAGATGAGAGAGAGATGAGAGAGAGATGGGAGAGAGAGATGTGAGAGAGAGATGGGAGAGAGAGATGGGAGAGAGAGATGGGAGAGAGAGATGGGAGAGAGAGATGGGAGAGAGAGATGGGAGAGAGAGATGGGAGAGAGAGATGGGAGAGAGAGATGGGAGAGAGAGATGGGAAAAAGAGTGGAAACTCTCCCCACGTACCTGGGCAGTGTGCTCATGGACCGGCTCCAGTTTGACAGCAGAGGTCTCGCTCCGAATCATTTCGGGGGGCATTACCTTTTTCATCGGCTGCTCAACGCTGCTGCGTGGAAGCTCCCCTTGGCAAGGCGGTCTCTGTCGCTCCGCACGAAGCTTCGGGTCCGTCTCGACCACGGTCAAAAGATGCCCTTCATGGAAACATCCGTGCTGGTTTGAAAGGGTGGTGGCTGGCCTTGCCTCCGATTATTCGTCCCGGGTTTACCCCAGGCCGGTCTCGCAGCGTTGAGGAGCTCGCAGATCGGAGGAAGTGTGGTGAATGAGTGGCCGGGGTGAGTTATTGGTTGACTGGGTGCATGATCGGGTGAGTGAGCGAGCGAGCGAGGGGGTGAGCGGCTGAGTAAGCGAGTGAGCGAGGGGGTGAGTGGGTGAGCGAGTGAGCGAGGGGGTGAGTGGACGAGTGGGTTAGCGAGCGAGCGAGGGGGTGGGTGAGTGAGCGAGGGGGTGGGTGAGTGAGCGAGGGGGTGAGCAGTGGGTGAGTGAGCGAGGGGGTGAGTGGGTGAGTGAATGAATGGTGAGTGAGTGAGTGAACAGCTGAGTGAGTGAGTGAGCAGCTGAGTGAGTGAATGAATGGCTGAGTGAGTGAGTGAGTGAGCGGCTGAGTGAGTGAATGAATGGCTGAGTGAGTGGCTGAGTGAGTGAATGAATGGCTGAGAGTGAGTGAGCGGCTGAGTGAGTGAATGAATGGCTGAGTGAGTGAATGAATGGCTGAGTGAGTGAGTGAGCGGCTGAGTGAGTGAATGAATGGCTGAGTGAGTGAATGAATGGCTGAGTGAGTGAATGAATGGCCTGAGTGAGTGAGTGAGCGGCTGAGTGAGTGGCTGAGTGAGTGAGTGAGCGGCTGAGTGAGTGAATGAATGGCTGAGTGAGTGAGCGGCTGAGTGAGTGAATGAATGGCTGAGTGAGTGAGCGGCTGAGTGGGTGAGTGAGCGAGGAGGTGAGTGAGCGGTGACGATTATCTGAACCGGTTCCTAGGCCTCCCCTAGGTCGACTCAGCCTCAAATGAGCACCCGGTGTAGCAGGTGTGAAGTAGTGAACATCGCCACTGGGGAGACAAAGGCGGCCGGGCGTGGTGCTGACCACCCACCCACCCCCTCGCGCGTCGTTCCGGCCTTCATAGGCGCTGCTCGCTAACAGCGCTTGCCCAGACAGTCTGTTAAGGCCACACGGGGGATCTTTGTCTTTGTGTGGTGGTGGTGGTGACGGATAGGTTTAGTGGTGGGTTTGGGGTGCTGTTTGAATGAGGGGGATTGTTGGTGGTTGGTGGTGGTGGTTGTTGGTGGTGGTGGTGGTTGTTGTTGTTGTTGTTGGTGGTTGTTGGTGGTGGTGGTGGTGGTGGTTGTTGTTGGTGGTGGTGGTGGTTGGTGGTGGTGGTGGTTGTTGGTGATGGTGGTGGTTGTTGTTGTTGGTGGTGGTGGTTGTTGGTGGTGGTGGTGGTGGTTGTTGGTGGTCGTGGTGGTGGTTGTTGTTGTTGGTGGTGGTTGGTGGTGGTGGTGGTGGTTGTTGTTGTTGTTGGTGGTGGTGGTTGTTGTTGTTGTTGTTGGTGGTGGTGGTGGTGGTTGTTGGTGGTGGTGGTTGTTGTTGGTGGTGGTTGGTGGTGGTGGTGGTGCACGGTTCCCCTCCACGCCACCCGACACCCACACACGGCTGGGCAGGGTGGTAGCACACACACAGACACTCACACACACACAGGCACACACACACAGACACACACAGACACTCACACACACACAGACACACAGACACACACAGACACTCACACACACACAGACACACACACAGACACACACAGACACACACAGACACACACACAGACACACACACACACACAGACACTTACACAGACACTTACACAGACACTCACACAGACACACACACAGACACACACAGACACTCACACACACACAGACATACACACAGACACACACAGACACACACAGACACTCACACACACACAGACACACACAGACACTTACACACACACAGACACACACACAGACACACAGACACTCACACACAGACAGACACACACACAGACACACACACACACAGACACAACAACAACAACCGCCATTCGCCACTAAGTGGCGGTGACGTCACCACGACGCTTGTGCCAGGCTATGTGCACCCTGAGGCCACGTGAAGTGTCGAACGCCCGCTGGCAGGAGGTCACGGGGCAGACCCAGGTGCCACGGGTCGACTGACTGAGATGACTGGCTGATGCACCACCTGTGCCCCCTACTGTGCCAACCTGCTGTGCTTTAGCCACCCGGCGCTCCGCTCGCTGTTGTGAGCGTCGCTCCTCCGCCCTCCGTTGTTGTTGGAGGGCGACTGCCTCCAACTGCCCAGTAGCATCCTTCACGAGCCTCCTCCACAGAGGCCGATCTTGACACCGCTGGTACCAGTCATCGGCAAGTCCACTCAGCTCCACGTCCTCCTGTACCACATCACTCCATCTCTTCTCTAGCCCGTGCCGCGCCCGCTTAGCCCCCTCAATCCGGCCAAACAAAAGCTGTTTCGGCATGCGGTGGCTGGGCATGCGGGCTACATGACCCAGCCATTGCAGCCTTGCCTGCCGGAGGAGCTCACCGATGGGACCCTGCCCAGATCTTTCAAGGATTTGTGAGCTCCTCACACAATCCAGTCTGGTTAAACCCAGGATGGATCGTAGGCAGGCCAGCCTAAATGTTTCTAACCGGCGAAGATGTTCCATTAGGGGGGTCCACGTTTCGCAAGCGTAGAGAAGGG